CTTTTCCAGTTTTTGAAGGCGGAAGATAAGGAGTACTGGAGGGTTGGGACAGCACTAGAACTTAGTCAAAGCATAAAGAAAAAGGACAGCAGGGATAAGCACTAAGAGCGGAAATTGAAGGAAAATCGGACAAAAAACGTATGCCTCACTATGGCTGAGAGGAATAAGGAGCTAACCTAAAAAAATTCTTCTTCTGCCACATCTTTTTTTGTCGTTTTGAACGTTGTTTAAGCCTTCGAACAAACGGCCATTTTATTGCTGCAATAATTTGTGCGTAAATTAACATCTGGAATTGTCTCAGTGCGAAAAATTTGTAATTGGAATTAATATTGATCAAATGATTTGGCACTATTTTACTTCTGGTTCAAATAACTTTTCTAACATTTTCGACGGCATTGTCAATTTTTTTTTCTTTTTTTTACAATCCAACATTCAAATCAACAACACCATATTCTTTTCACTATTCTCTTTGATGCTAAGATGTATGAAAAATTCAAGCTCAACGAGAGAGATGGAGACAGAGGAAAGCACAAATATAGATCGAAGATTGATATTAGCAGTTGAATGGTGGATAAATTAAGCTCTACTGGTTTTTGAAGCTAAATAGTTGAACGGAAAGGAACCTTACGTCAAACTATTTGTTGCAGTTGAGAGTTAAGGATAAAAAAAAAAAGAAAAAGACACCGGATATCAACAACAAGAAAGAATAAGAAAGAAAAAAGAACCACATTTTTTTTTTTTTTTTTTTTGCTGTATCTTTGGCGATTATACATCTGCTGTCAAGTTGGAAACAACTGAATTTGTCCAAAACACTCAATGATTGCCTTTATGAAAGCTTTTTGGCAGTTGAAATTTTAGTTAAATGGACAAACACTTTACCAGCAAATAAATTTTGTTTCTTTTTTTAAAAGCTGTCTTTTGAGTACTGTTGGTTGATCGGTTTGCTGATTGACTGATTGAGTCTGTAAACTGCAGACAGAAAAGTTGTAAACTTTTGACAACAGATACTGCTCGGCTGTTGGACATTTCCAATTTTTGGTGTAGAATCCACTGTTGTTGTTGTTGCATGAAACAGTCAAAATAAACTTGGACTTGCCTTTTTTTTTTTTGTCATATCAGCTTTAGCTTTCTTGTTTTGGATACCAACATTTGAAATTCGTAGACCAGAAAAAGCTGTAGACTGGTCAATGCAGATAGATGGATAATCTGGATTCTGGTTTGGTTTGCTTTGCTTAACTTCTTCTTTTTCACAGAATTTTTTCTGTTATTGCTCTTGTCTTTTGTTTTTTCTCTTTTTTTTTTCTGCAAAAAATACTTTTACAAAATTCTGTAATACTGAGTTTCGATAAGTAATACAACAAATCTTTTTTATTATTCGTTCCTTCTGTTTATTGATTATTATTAGGTCATGTTTTTTTTTTGACCCGCTTCTCAAATTACTCTCGGCTATTATTATTGCTTATTTTTTAAAATAACATTTAAATTAGCAACTATTCCGAGTGCATTTTCTTAAGTCCTCATTTCTTCAATTAAAGCTTATTCAAATTAATCGTACAGCTTTTTTCAACAGTTCTTTTTTTTAACAGTAAAATATGAGACTTAAAAATTTAGACAGTTTTATGCTGAATTTTTAAAACAAATGCTTTTGTGCTGTGGCTGCTAATTTGTTTCAAACGATAATCTGTCGGATTGTTTTTTTTTTCGTTATTAGTTAGAAGTGTCATTTTAAGCTTCATTTCAGTGGCTCAGTGAAGCAAAGTAATAATAAAAACTTTTACTCTTTTTTTTTTTATTTTAGGACATTTTAGAAATGTAATATTCCCCAAAAAAATTCTAAAGCAATCTTTAGTAGACCAATTTTTATCAATAAATCACGTACAGTCGCATCTACAGCAGTACTTTTATTTCTTCTTTACCTTTTTTTTCTTCTGCTTTTTCAAAACAAACCCTCTGAGTGAGAAGTGAAGAATTATCTTTTGGATTAATAAATGCATTAGCGGTGAAGTCATTACTGTACAACTGTTAATCAGTGAACAACTAACTGAACTCTTTTGGCCATCGTCTGTTGGTGCCGCAGCAGTGATGACCTGATCTTTGATCTTTCATTATTTCAGCTGTATAGCAGTGATTTTAATGTATCGTCAACAGACTTGTCTTTGTAATTGCTGTCATTTCATTTCAGTTCAGTAATCATCCACAGGTTACAGACACTTATACTTACTAGTAGTTAGTTCATTTAAGTTGTTTAAAAAAAAAAAGTTCATTACACATTTTAAAGTTTTTTTTATTGACAGGACTGAACTCTACTGACTACAACCGATCACCTTGATTAGGACTACCCAAGTTTGATAAGCATTAAATGACAACTGTCGACGAGCAGTAATCATAGCCACTATTATTTCTTCAATTTTTTTTTAAACCTATTTTATTGCCGATAAGACAGAGACCAGTGAACAACAGTACGATGAGTTCTAATCAGCAGTTTAGAAGGGACCATCACGGATGACCACCGGAGTGAAGGTGCCTGTCTGACCATTGACCATTGGTTGGCTGCTGATAGTTTTGCTACAATTCCAGTCTTCCCTCCAAATCGTTAAGGTCTTAAGTAACAGTTGAAACACACTTAAGAAGTCTTTTTTTTTCTCCCACTAATCTTTCTTCTTTTTTTTTCTTCTTTTTTTTCTTCATCATCATCTTCTCCTTCGTATTTTCTTCTCACCAAACTGTTATCATTGTCTTCATCGAGTATGGGATGTTTAAAAGAAAAAAAAAAGTTTTATCTAGCAAATAATAGACACCTTTCTTCTGGTATTTTTGTGCAGTTTTTTTTATTTCCAAGTTGTTTTTCGAGTTCACTAAATGTTAGTTGATTTGATAGTGTTAGTTGTTATTGCACTATTTTTTTACAATTAACTTAGCATTTCTTTTTGTTTTGAAAAGCCAACAGAAAAAGAGGCCAGAAATATTTCCTTTTAACATTCCTTTCTATTTTTTTTACACCTTATTATAGTTTTGTTGATATCGTACAAGTGTGTTTTTCTTTTATTTGCCTGGTAACAAGTTTATTTCTTTCTGTTTCTGCTTCAATTAACTGAAAAATGCAGAGTGAGAAGAAGACGGAGCAAGTTGAAGTCTGAACAGATGAAGAGGGGAGGGGGAAGAGAAGGTAAAGAAGGAAAAAAGAAACATGCAGAAGCTTGAAAGATTAGTCGGTTTCTTTTTTTAAAAGTAGGATTGATGTAGGAAAAGAAATTCTTCCCTTTATCACTTTTTTTTTGGTTTGGAAAACTTGGAATTACATCTTGTTATTTTTTTTTAAACAATAAACTGATTCTTACTGTTGTTCTTGTCGTTGTGTTTTTTTTTTCGTTGTCATTATTATTATTATTGTTGTTGTTGTAAAGAATGACGTAAATTATTTAATATTGCTGTTTCATTTTTTTCCCATCATTTAGTTCTGTCAATTTTGTTCGGCTACATAGAGTACAGGTGTCCTTGATTCCTTAATTTTACTAGATTTTTAGATCTTGTTTTTTTAAACATTTATTACGTACATGAACCGCATGCATTGGTTTCGCTAAAAACTTTTTCTTTCAATCTACAGCGCGATGCTCAACGGCGTTGTGCTGATTCTGTAAATGTTGTTGGCGATGGTCGGCAATTAAATGACGCCTTGTTGCATCCAATTTTCCCTTTCCCCGCATCAAATCAGTTAATTGTTCATTCAGCTTTGGACTGGACTGGACGGAACGGGACGAGACGGGATGGGGAATGGAGCCGGGGTGACGGGGTAGGGGAGTGGAGTAATGTGGCGATGGGGAAGCAGCAATAGTATAGAAGAAAAATTTTGAAATGCTTCATTGACAGTACCATTCAATAGCAGAATATTTTTTCTTGATTTTTTATTACTTGGCTGTTTTAGATGGATGGCTTTTTGTTCAGTTTCTAAAATTACAGTAACTGTACTTGTGTATCGTTGTTGAAGTAGAATTCTTGAAGTGATTGTTCCAGTCTGAAATCGTTGTTTTTTGTTGTTGCTTGAAAAAAAGACAGAAACAGAAACAAACAGTAGTTTTTCTCTATCTATTTGAAAAACTATTGTATTTGTGGGATGTTACAGAAGTAGTTCTGGAAAGAGAAATGATAATGTTAGTTTTTAAAATTTTAGCTGTAACAAGACACTTTTCAGTTTGTTGTCGTTTCAAAACCTTCACTTTGGATACCTGTAATTTTCAAGTTTTTTTTCTTTTTGGTTTTGTTTCTGCTAACAATGGATTGCTGGTTTCAACGACATTCAAGTGACGTTTTTAGGAGAAAGAGAAGTTGTAAGTATGATTTACTTGTTTAGTATCAAACGTTAAATAAGATAAGTGGTATTGTAAAAAAAAAATTATTGTAGTGGTTAAAAATGATAAAAAAAGGAAAAGATGGGGAGGAAGGAGAAAAAGCAAAAAAAGAAAAAGATATTCTATTTATTTTACATTAAACCTCAAAATATGTTGAAAAGCTGAGACGTTGTTGGCGACTTTTGAATTTTTCATGGATGTTTATTGCATGAATTAAGCACATATTTTTATTTGATTTTTCATTTTTTTTTCACTGTTTTCTTTCATATCGTTTCTGAAGATGTAGGGGGAGGGGGGGAGGGGAGAGAACAGGGTGTGGAAAAGAGGGGAAAAATTGAAATTCAAGAAACTGAAGAATGAACAATAAGTGGTAACTGCAGAAGTCAACAGAATGATAGTCTGGAAGTCAGAAGAAGAAGAAGAAGAAGAAACTGACAACATAAATGGCGACATCAATGATAACAATGACGCTTATTCATAGATCAACAAGAAATTTTATTTCTTACATTACTTTATGGGTAGTCGATAGAAGATAAAAAAAAAAAAAAAGAAAAATTTTTTAAACTTTATTGCAGTCGAAGTTATTGTCATTGAGAAATTTCTAGATGAACTTTACTGTCGTCATTTTGTTGCTCTTCGGTTGATTATTATCACATTTATAGCTGTTTTATGAGATTTTGCTTTATACAATTTTCACCGATACATTTTAGAGCAGTTATGTAGCTTTTTTTTCTTTGCTGTTTACAGCTAATTTTTTCGAAATATAAAAAAAAAAAGTTATGTAGAATGAGAAAAAAATGATCATTTTCAAATATTAAATAGCCATTATGACGGCGAAAAAAAGGTGTGTTAAGTAAAATATCGTCTTTTGAATGATACTCTTAAACTGTTTTTTTTTCGTTGTTAGTTACATCGTTTATTTTTTCTTAAATATTTCTTCTTTTTTTTCTCTTTTTTTATTTACAATTTTTATAAACTATACATTATAATGGTTACATAGCAGTTATTATGGAATGTTCAAAACGAACCAGTGATTATGATAGACAAATAGTTAGATGTAACATATCGAACATGCAGTAACCATTTAACGATAAACCGACTTTGTGCTTTAGAGTCAGACTGAAACGTTTGCGCCGAATTTACATGATTCTGTTTTAAGGCAACAGCTTCTGAAAACTGTGAAGAACAACTAAACATCTGTTGGTAACGGTGATGTCTAGTTGACCACTAAGATTACCATCATCAATATCAGCATTAGAAACAGCAACAGTGCAGTTGTTGGTTGTCATCAATCAGTATCCGTTTATTTAGACAACAGCTTCTGAGCAATTTATCCAAACTTTTTTTTTCTTTCTTATTATGCATTACTTTAGTTGTTGCATAAATGAATACAGACAATTATAAAGTGCAACAACAAACATGGCAGTTGTCATTACTTTAAATCAAATTGGATGAAACTTAAGAGCAGCATTGGTGTACCAATTTGATATTATTCTATTATGATAAAAGATAATAACCTATGCATAGTAAAAGAAAAATAACAAAAAAAAAA